AAATATTCTTGAGCGGCCCGGTCTTGTTCTGCGTCGCTGAAGTACATTGTCGGGTTGAAGGTCAAGGTCGACGTGTCTTTATTTGTCTCTGCGCTCATTGTAGTTTCTCCCATGGTCGTAACTAAGCGGCGCTACCAACTATTATGAAACAGCCTGGAGCTGTCTCTTAAACTACGAGTAGATCGGTTTATAGATAGTTCAGCCTTAGTGGATAGGCCTAGTCTATCTGTCGTATTCTCGATGTCTAAAAAGTGTTATCCTTCTTCAGGGATGTCTCAGCCTCACGCTCCTTTATAGTTCGGAACCCTTCTATACAGTAGGTGAGGGGTAACCCCGATCAGGAATGTTTAGACTCTTCGTCCTTCGTATTATACAGGATGCCCAGAATCTATAATCTGGCTCATGTCGTATCATAACACCTTCCGGTTGCAGCCATACCATGCAGGAAGCACTGTTTCCCGTCCGATCAACGTTAGTTAAGCTGCATAGGGCCACACTGAGTAGTGTAGTGGGAGACCATATGCGAAATTGTGGTGCTGCAATCTTTTTGCTCCAAGAAATTCTAAGCCGAAAGTGTTTCTACACGGCTGAATAAGACTGCCTAGGGCCTTAATGACCTTTGTTTTGAGCAGCTCCACTTTAATCTTAAACTGTCGGACACATTTTCATTGCGTGCTTCTATTAGCAAGTCGTCCAAAGGCACAGACTTGCGTATAAACCCCAAAAGCCAAGCTATAAAACAATATTTCAGAAACTAGCAGCACGAATCAAATCCCCAAATTGTGATGTATCGCCGAAGGCCTAGTGATGGTGTGAATTACCATATGATCTGCTTGTCAAGAGTGGATCCCGAGCATGTTTCCACTACACCACCTCATCATTCGAATAGTCTGCGTTCAACCTTTAATTTTTCATACACATTCATCATAAACGCCGTGGTGTCATCACAGCTCTGGAGCTCGCTCCGGAGCTGAGGAAGTTCTTTCTTTAAAGAATAGAGATTTTGTAGGCTCTCCAGGATTCGTGCCCGGATAGTATCTGAGTTTTGGATAGGCACCTGGCTGCTTTCCATAGCCGACATGAGTTCTTTCATGCCGCTGTCCAGGGACCCGAAGTTCTCATCAGTTTCCGCATTCTCTGTGATTTCCTTGATGAAGTCTGTCACCTGCTGGTCGATGGACAAGACCAACTTCTCATAGGCGGCCCGCGCCTCTTGAGGTAATTCACGCCGAAGCTGAGTGACTTCGGTGGTCTCGTTTTCGACTTGCTTGATCAAATCTCGTAGTTGCTGGTTCAACTCGGTGTCAAAAGGCACCACCTCTTCTCTTTCTTCGATGGTGAGAAGCTTGTTAAGATGAACATCGTTGTCGGCCAAGTCCTCGCCGTCTACTATCAAGGCGTATTTGGCCTTTTCAAAAGTGGTCTCAAGATTAGCACTCATCATATTTTGCACCTGCATCAGAAACTCGTCATGGGGAGCACAACCTGGGAGAAGCTTTTTGAACTTCTCCTGTGAGGCGTAGAAGACCTGCCGATAGACATGCGCCAACTCGCTTTTAGAAAGCAGGATTTTAGTGTAATGGTCGTTTGCTCCCATCACGAGGAAAATTGGCAGCTGATTGTTTAAAAGACTGGGTGTAGAGACATTATCATTTGTTTGGTGGTGTGGTGTACGGATGCGGATGTACCGGAGCGAAGCCAGGCCCACTAATTCATGAGTCCGACCCGAAGGATACAAATAAATATATAGATACGAGCCTCTGAAGGACGCCGATAGCCATTGATTTAGAATTTATTGAGGGCCAGAAAAGTTTAAGATTCAAACTTCTCAGAGGATAGACGGTAGTGCACGACCAGACGTAGAGAATACCTAGAAAATATAGTACAACCAGTGAATTTATTTGACTGTTGTTTTTAAATAAAGGTACTTCGATCTTTGATCGATTGAGGACAACATGGCATTTCTTCATTCATCAGTAGTGTGTTTGACAATTTGTAATTTGATGGCGGACCGGGCACTATGTTGAGATTTGTAATTACTTCTGATGTTTTGAGGAACAAAAATCAAACCTGATAGGTCCGCATTGTTCAGCCAAAGTTTTATATCATGTCATTAGAATGGGCTGGAATAATTGAAGTACCACAGGAGGTAGATTCAGGCCTATATAATTAATTGTCTGGGCTTAATTCTTGACGGGTGCGGGTAATTTAGCTGTCGAGAACTCAGGCCAGATATAAATGGTGTAGAAGCCGAGATGAGAGCCCAGGAACAAAAGAAAATCTAATGGATCTAATGGTTTTACCGGAGCTCTCGGGTGGGCTAAGTATGAAGTATTTAGACAACATCATGCAGCAGAAGACGCAACAGCCCCTTTCAGCATCAGCTCAACCTGTGCTAATAGAGAACTTTCTACTGATTCGAGATCTGCGAGGCGATTTTTAATTCTGGCTCTGTGAACTGTTTTGGTTACCTCTTTAACTTCTATTCCCGTGGCAGTATCTGCACGAGTCAACGTATATACACAAAACTTGTTTCCCTACAAAACAGCATACTTGGTTTCTCCATCATATACGCTGGACCCAAAAAGTCCAGCTCTGACTATTTGGCTTGGTTCAATGGAGCTTCAGTTTAAGTGGGAACCTAGGCCGCCAGTGCACACCAACAAGAGTGATTTTCACAACACAGAAAAACAGTAGAGTAAACTCAAGGGGGTTTCACTCGACTCTGGTATATTTAAACTCATAAAATAACTCATGTTATAGTATACTCATTTAACATCCCATTAAAAGAAGACTGATTATTATATGATTTATATATCATTTGGTACTTAATCTAATACCTATACAATTTAAATAGATATACATCTAATTGTATGCTATAAGATATGATTATTTATAATTTAAGATTATAAAATAAAGAACTCAGAATTATAAAGCGGATTTATAACTTCGGGGCATTAAATCCTGCTGCTTATCAGCTAGGACCCCGAGTTCCCATCTTCTCTGTCCTTCACGTACGGACCGTATGCAGGCGTTGGAATAGGAGAAAGCTACATAGTGATGCAGGCCAGCAAGCCAGCCTTGGCCGAGACATTAAGTAAGACAGTATTGGAGATCAAGCAGCGATGTTTTATTTCCCGGTCTCTCTCTCAAATATTGGTGATCTCATGGGAAGACTCAAGCACCTCATTCGTCCAATGGGACGCAGAATTACAGGATCTGGGAGCAATGCCACCACCCGGCAGAGCCAGAACACAGCAGGGTCAAAACCTAAGAAAACCCCGCCTGGCAATATCTAGCAAGGCCACTGCCACCAAAACAAAAAAAAACAAAAAATAGAAAGAGGACGAAAGATCTTCGCTGCTGTGGAGCCGCTTTATTGCCTGCTGGGCCCGGTGTGCACACGACCACATGCGTGCGCCCGTTCACCGCGAGATACTCGCAAGAAACCAGCTACCATCCTAATAAAACCCCCCACTTTCTGGCTCACCTCTCTTGGCACATCAATAAAATGAGCACCAGTGACGAGCTTAATCCGCTCTTTGCACCCTTTTTGGGGCTTGCCGGCTGTGCCGCGTCCATGGTGTTTTCATGCGTGGGCGCCGCCGTGGGCTCGGCCAAATCCGGCATTGGTATCTCCGGTATCGGAACTTTCAAGCCAGAACTCATCATGAAGTCTTTGATTCCCGTGGTGTTGTCGGGAATTCTTTCCGTGTACGGCTTGGTGGTCTCGGTGTTGATTGCCGGCGGGTTGAACCCGGCGGAAGACTACTCTCTATTCAAAGGAATCATGCATTTGGCATGCGGGCTCTCGGTGGGGCTTGCCTGTATGGCGTCTGGGTACGCCATTGGCATTGTGGGCGATGAAGGCGTGAGGCAGTACATGCACCAGCCGCGGTTGTTTGTGGGCATAGTGTTGATTTTGATTTTCGCGGAGGTGTTGGGCTTGTACGGCTTGATCATAGCGTTGATTTTGAACACCAAGGGCACGTAAGACGCGGGGCCTCGTGGGGCTGATGGCCTTGCCGCCAGGCCCGTCCTCTACACTTCTACATACACCTACATATTTCATACAACTTTTACTCGGCCTGCCGTCCTCTGGTCTTGTATTCTGGGGGGCTTGTGTATTATACATTCGTGTGGTGGGCGCCCTAGTCCGTCTGCATCTTGTCATCGTCGGCCTTGGTGCCGAGCGTCACGTTCCCGTCGTCGTCAATGAAACGGGACGCGAAGTCAGAGACAAACTGGACGGACCGGCTCGAGTCCAAGAAAAGCAGGTACGCTCTCTTAACGTCGGCCAAGTCAACGCTTTCCGCGCGTCTTTTGGCGGCAAGCTGCAGCGACACGGCAATCAAGTTCGACGCGTACCGCAAGGACGTCTCCTCGCCGATCTTCGTCAACAAGGCCAACGCGTCGCCCGTCAAGTCCACCTCCTCCTCCGTGGCACGGATGGACAAGATGGTGCGGAGCTCGTCGGCAGAGTAGTTGGCCGTGTGGATGATGATGGACCGGTCCAACAAGTCCATGGGCACACCATGCGGCGACTTGTAGTTGGTTCCACGGGCGGGCGAGACGCCTCTGTTGGTGGCCATGACGACGATGGGCGCGAAGTCGTCCTCCAACGCCCGGTTGATGAACGAGAAGCACTCGATGTCCAACATGTGGACCTCGTCGACGAAAAGCACGCCCGGCACGATCTCGGCCTTGCCCTCCTCCTTCCACTCAGCCACTTTGGTGTTGATCTGGTCACGCACCTCGGAGCGGATCTCACCCGTGTCTCCAGAAAACAACGCCAAGAAGCCTTGCTGGCGCGAGTTGATGACGTCGATTTCATGCAACGATACCGTGTGCACCACTTCTTTGCGCTTCTGCAACTCGCCCTCTGGACACTGCACGAACTTGGTTTCGGGGCCCATGGCATCATAGTCGCGGGCACGGGCAAACGACTTGCCCAACTTGCTGATCTTGCCCGAGGCCTTGTCGATGGAGATGACGTCGCCTGCCAAGACCTTCTCCTTGGTCAAGCCCTCGATCATCTTGTTACCCAACTCGTAGATGGTCTCCATGTCGGTGGTCTTGATCGTCAACTTGCCCTGCTTGTGGCCTCCCGTGATGGAGCGGTCGATTTGGATCTCGACGACTTCTCCCTCGATGATTTCGGTCTCCTCCTTGATCTTGATGCCGATCGACTTGCGGAACGCCTGGGTCAACGACTCGGTCTTGGACAAGTCCAAAGAGAAAATCTCCGAACCCGTGATTGCCGTAAATGGCACGCCTTCGCCCAAGCTTTGCGAGAGCCCCATGGCGATTGCGGTTTTGCCCGTGGACGGAGGACCCGCAATAAGCACGGCCCGGCCGGCAATCTGGCCGACCTGCACCATCTTCAAAATGAGCCCGGCAGCCCTACGCGCCTTGAGCTGGCCGACCATTCCTTGTGCAGATGGCTTGGGCACCAAGTTGTCGTCCAACCCGAGGCCCGAAATATGTGAGTGGGACGCGATCAACGAGAGCCCATTCAAATCGCGTGTCTGCGAGGACGTCGTGGCTATAGTAGAGGTCTGGGATTGTTAGTAAGCCGCTAGAAGGGAGCTTTCAGCTACCGGCATATTTGGGCGTCTTGGCCGTTTCGGGGTACACATACCATCGTGTCTGAGTGCTCTGTTTGGTGTATCGAGCTGAAAACGAGAGCCTTGAACAGACTGGTCTTCGCGATGTTCTGAGGCGCCGGAGTCACGTGACCAAGGCCTTGGTCACGTGATAATTTGGCGAGTCACGTGATGTAGCGGGTAGCACAAAGCCTTGCTGCCGGGATATGGCGCCCTTTCCACAGTATTGGCACGCCAGCTGAGTATGGAAGAAAGAGCATATGAGGTTATGGTCTAAAGAAATTCTGAGTACTGTGATCAGATTTGCACTTGCTTTGCTTAAAAAGAGAAGTTGTGCCAAAGTCCTTCCTGACTTGGCTGCAGTTGTAACAGCGAGCCCAGGCATACTGTGCAGGAGACAGAATCCAATATATTGATATAGATTGATTGAGTTCTTAGGGCAGGAGGGTCAGCCGTCACTGATGAATTTCGGAAATGGTCGTCAAATTAGGAAAAGAGTGAGTAATACTCTAGATGCAAAATTGTTTTGTAAGTGTGGGCAATCTATGTTCGACCAAGGCACATCGTTGGGAGCCTGGCATCTAATTTGTCATGGTTCAAAAAGTAGAACCCCATGGAATTTCGGCAGATGTTTTCGGGATAATTTTCTCCAATAACCGATTATTCGCAAAGAGCTGTAAAGTCCCTTTCAGCTTGCCAAGGCTGTCTGATGATCTTCTTACTGCTGAAAATGTAGCATAAACTGCCGTTATTCGTACCTCTGCAATACAGTCAAGTATACAAAGATGCGTTCTCTAACAAGTACAGGAAACATGATTATTTGAGTTTCTGAGCTACAGACGAAAACAAACCACAGCTCGGCTCAATTAGCGCAAAAGCATGCCCATGCTAAGCATAGAGAGCCACTAAAGTATTTTGCTATATCCCGGGCATACCAGAAATCAGACGGCTGAGTATGTCTCTCGCTGCCTATATTGCAGACGACACTTACCAAGCACATCAATTAGGAACACACCACAACATGCCACGACAAGACTGACTCTGTCGGCTGTGCGTTGCGGCTCTTGAAACTTGCCTAAAGTGATTCGAAGATTTGCAACTCCCCTGGCGCCCTATTCATTTGGCACCTGGAAGAGATACGCCACTCTACGGATGTCAATCTCCACTAGCAACCGACTAGGAAGATAATCATACGGCGTGAACCAAGTTATTTATACATATTCCGGGGGACAGGGTCCGTGGGCACACCTCGACAACCCAAACCGTGGTTTAAAGCTTCGAGCCGACTTGCAGAAGCGCTTCCTCGTACATCTGATCGATCTGCGGTCTGAAGAACTTGGCTGCAATGGGGCGCTTTAGCTTCACGGTGGGCGTGATGACGTCCCTCTCGAGAGTCAAGGGTTCGTACTCGATGTACAAGTTCTTCAACTTCTCGAAGCCGGCCAACCCCGCCACGTGCTTGTTCAACCGCTGGAGAAGCAACCTCCTGTTCTCTGGCTTGTTGATTTCCGCCAAGAGGGCGTCATCCAGGGCGCGGGCCGCCCCGGCAAAGCCACACACGTGCTTCAAGAACGTCGCCGCCTTCTCCTTGTCCACGCCCACAATAGCGACCAAGAAGCTCTGCGTGGAGTCGCCATGCACGAAGCACTGGGTGAGAATGGAGTTGCACAGGAGGTAGATGTTCTCGATTTTCTCGGGCGTCACGTACTCGCCCTGTGACAACTTGAAGAAGTTCTTGACGCGGTCCACGATGTAGAGGCGGCCGGTGTTGCGGTCGATTCTCGCCACATCGCCCGTGGAGAACCACTCGCCGTCAAAGCTCTTGCGCGTCTCCTCCTCGTTCTTGTAGTACGCGGAGAAGATCTGCGGGCCGCGGAGCTGCAACTCGCCCATGTGGCCACGCGGGTCGTCGAGCGTGTAGCCCAAGTCGGGCAATTCGCGGACGCGGATCTCGGTGGCCACGCCGGGCGCGCCGCAGCTGTCGGCGGCCTTCTCGTTGGGGTCGCCGAAGGACATGCCGGCAAACAGCTCCGTCAAGCCGTAGCCCTGGGCAAAGCCGATGTTGAGCGCGGCCTTCATGAACTTGATTGTCAGCGGCGAGATGGGAGCCAGCCCCGTGATGCAGTGCTCCATGTTCTCGAAGCCCAAGAGCTTGCGCACCTTGCTGATGAAAAGCGCGTCGTAGACGGCGTGGGTGCCCTTGACGCCGTCGGAGGTCTGGCGGTCCAACTTGGCCTGCACCACGTGCGAGAAGATGGTCTTCTTGACCACCAGGTCCAGGTGGATGGTGGCGTTCTTGATGGCGGCCTCGAGCTTGGTGAACACGCGCGGCACGTTGGACATGTGCTTCGGCTTCAAGACGCGGAGGTCGTCGAGCAACGACTGCGGCGTGCCGTTGAGCTGCGGGAAGCCGCACAAGCCGCCCGTGGCGAGCGTGTATGCCAAAGACTGGCGCTCGAAGATATGTGCGAGCGGCAAGAACACCATCTCCACGTCGTCCTTGATGCGGGGCACGTTGCAGATGGTGAACGTGATCCCCGCGGAGGTGGTCTCGTGCGTCAACACCACGCCCTTGGGCTTGGACCCCGTGGTGCCGGACGTGAAGCTGATGGTGTACACGGCCGCCGGGCTGGGGGGCATTTCCGGGTGCGGGAATAGCCTGCCCACGCCGCACACCTGGCCGAAGTCGTAGAGCTCGACCAGGCACTCGCGTGCACGGGCCGCGAGCGCACGCGCCTCGGCGTCCGAGCGGCAGTCCAACGGGTCCATGGACACCACGCAGATGAGCGCCGCGAGTTCCTGGGGGTGGCTGCGCTTCAAGTCCAAGATGGCCTCGACGTGCGCGAGGGACGCCACCACCACCGGCGACTCCACGAGTTGCAAGATGTACTCGGACGCGTTGGGGCCCAAGGTGTCGTACAACACGGTGTTGGTGATGGAGTACGCGACGCACGCCAAGTCCGTGATGACCCACTCCGCGCGGTTGCCCAGGAACATGGTCAACACAAAGGAGAGGTTTGTGGCGTCGTACGAGGCGCAGTCGGCGTAGTGGCGGTCGATCTTGCGGTGGCTCTCGAGGCCGCTGTTCTTGTACGGGCTGTGCTGGAGGAGGTGGATCACGCCGGCGCCGAAGCGGCGCTTCTTCTCGTCCACTTGCAGGTACGTCTCCGGCTCGTAGCGGGGCTCTGGAACGCCGGTTTTGTAGTCGTAGGGCCGCGACGCCAACGCCGGCTTGGCCGCGAAGTGGCGCACGGAGTTGCGCCACAACGCGTGGTACGTGGCGAGCTCGGGAAGCACGTTGATCTTCAAGTTGGGCACGGCGTCGCTGCGGAAGACCGGCGAGTAGCCGGTTTCGGCGGATCCGGGCACGGCACTGGCGTTGGCCCGGTGTGCGAGCGGCACGTGGTCGTCGAGGAGCCGGTCGAAGGACACGCCGGACTCGGCGGGCGAGACGAACACCGAGTCCGAGGTGGCGGGCGCCAACACAGGGGCAGACATGGCGGGCAAGGGGGGGCGGCTTTTGGGCGGCTAGCAGATGTTTTGGGCGGCTAGCAGATTTTCTGGGCGGCTAGCGGCGTTTTGTGTGGCTGGCGGCTTTTTAGGCGGCTGGCGGCTATTTGCTCACGGGGGCTGGTCACTGGACGGGCGTTCTGCGGGTTTTGCAGCTCTGGCGTATTTGGGGAAATCCAAAACTGGTGGCTACAGTCTGTGATGCGGCCTTCGGATCACTGGCGGCACTTTGAGGGATTTGTGGGGCACACGTGCTATTTCTGGGGCACTCTCGGTATATATTGAGGGCACTCTTGGTAAATCTAGGGGCGCTCCGGAATCACTTCAATTTCTCCAGGTCGCTCTTGGATCAGTGGACTCTGTCGTCTTTCACGATGATTTTCCAGGTCACTTCAAACAATCTGGCACTCTTTATCACGGGCACTCGAAACCACGGGCACGCTGGACTTGTTTCTTGGATAAATCTGGATTTCTAAACTGAGAGTTTTCTTTCCGGAAAGACACCGCGCAATTGGCGCTGAAAATACCCAGGCTTTTATATGCCTGGTCGGCCCAGCCTGCCAGGCCGAATGTGGGGTATAGATCCTCGGGCCCGCGCGGCGGGGAATGTGGGGCGCACACGAAAAACGGCCCGACGCTGGGCGGCCACGCGTCGCCATACATAAGAAACGAGGGTCCTGTATATAGGCGCCCGCTCTTCGCCTTGGTCTCTGGCCTTTAGCGTGTTTTGTCGGGGTGTTGGTGGGTGGACGTATCCGAGGCGAATATCATATTCGCGCACCCTCGGGGCACACGCCGCCAGACGGAGGATGTCGTGTTCCTGCATGCGGGGCTTAGGTGCTTTTCCTGCCGATGGCGTGCTGCGCCGGCCACCTAAACCTGGCGTCCTGCATACTGTGTTCTGCTAGCGTTGTATTGGTGTACTCGCTGTGTGGGCAACTGGCTGATGAGATGGTAAGGTGAGACCAAGAGGTTTAGGTCATTTGGTTGCTTATCTCATAACGATATTGCTGTCTTCTATAATGGAAAGATAATAGTATTGTTATTCAGTTGCCTCTAGCGATAGTAGATTATCTAATCAAGTATGATCTCTTAGAGCTTCATGTGGTCTTGTGCTTTAGAAGGGATGTAGTGGGTAGCATAGACTGCTGGATTGTAGTGCTGGATTTCAGTGCTGGAAATCAGAGTGCTGGATTTCAGTGATGAAAATCAGAGTGCTGGATTTCAGTGCTGGAGGTCCGAATCCTGGTTTGGAAGGGTGGCTGTCTCAACATACTTGTAGCGTTGGATACTCGCTATCTTGACAGATTTGGGTGCTGAGGTGCTCGCTGGTTGATGTACTTGATGTGCTAACAATAGTGTGTATAAATGCTGCATATGACAGTTGTTTCAAGAATCTGGTGGTGTCGAAGTGCTCGCTATACTGATATAATCGCTGTGTTACTATCTCGTTGACACTTGCTTGTTGTATCAATACACTCGTATCCATATACCATTTTACTGCTAAATGGATCTACTAATTTATATATTTTATTGTTTGTTACATCTAAAAAGTAGTTTTTTGTAATTTTATTTAGATCTTATCATACTTGTTGCTTCAAGATACTTGTATTAACAAACTTGCTGTTTCAAAGTACTTTTATGAAGATACTGGCTGCTTCAACATCCTTATATTCTTGCTTGTTGTTTTGAAATACCCGTATTGACATTCTCGCTGAATCAGCGTACACTCTACAAGTATGCCCGTTTAAGGATTGTTTTAAAAGGTTAGCTGTATACTTACTCTTTGCAAGAAGGTTCTCGTTGTGTTAATACACTCGCTGTATTAGCATCCTCGCCTTATTTACTACTCGCTTTATCTAACTACTCGCTCAATTAACCTACTCGCTTTATTATCCTACTCGCTGTATTAGCATCCTCGCTTTATTTACTACTAGCTTTATTTACTTCTCGCTTTATTTACTACTCGCTTTATTTAACTACTTGCTCAGCTAACTTACTCAATCTATTAACATCCTCACTTCACCAACATCTCCTCTGCATTCACATTCTGGTCTTAACCTACTCGCTCAATTAACCTACTCGCTGTATCATTCTACTCGTTGTATTAGCATCCTCGCTTTATTTACTACTGGTTTTATGTACTACTCGCTTCATTTAGCTACTCGCTTTATTTAGCTACTCGCTTTATTAGACTACCCGCTTTATTTAACTACTCGTTTTATTAACATCCTCACTTTACTAACATCTTCTCTGCGTTTACATTCTGGTATTGGCCTACTCGCCTACTTAACCTACTCGCCTAATTAACATCTTTGCTGCTTTAAGATTCTTGTATTGGCATACTCGTTCTCCTACAAGGCCAAGACCCAGTTCTGCGGCACGCCGTACTTGGCCAAGGGGTTGAACGACATCTTGCTGCACCACATCAAGAACACCTAGCCCGACATCAAGAACACCTTTCAAGATTTGCATCGAGCACTCCTTGAAGAAGTATTCGCAGGAGTTGACCGTGCTGGGCCCCGGGCTCGAGGGGAGCCCCACGTCCATTGCCTTGACAGTCAAACACGAAACAGCTTTCAAAAGTAATGAGAATTTAATTGATATTGTGTTTGTTGAAAAGGGAAAAGAGTATTAGACTTCAAGATTAGTGTATTTATTGTGGGAATAGTTCGTCGCTGTTAGTATTTTACGGAGTTCTGGAATTGAAAAAGCTATGTCTGAGGTGCGAATGCTACTTTATTCTTTGCAGGTCAACAAAGTTTCGCTCTCAGAATTTTAAATCCAGACTTTGTGATGTGTATTGACAGTTGATAGCACGCGTAGATTCAAGATAACTTGGATAAGCTTATCAGTCGTATCCTCCTACGGCCTATTCCGTGTCAGGCGACCTATTTCGCCTAGACGGCTCTAATATCCAGTGGCCTCTCCCACAGGTAAGATCTAATAACCTCTGAAAGATCCAGCTGAGACTAAGATACGGAAAGTATTTTATTACATGCCCTACCGAGGCGCAATTTCTTCTGTCAATCCAATTCCCTTTTTTGACTATTAAGTGAGGAAATGAATGTTCTGTCCATTCTTTTGTGCATCGCAAGCAAACTGAATATTTGTATAAAGGCACAGGCATGAAAGTGATTGCAAGTACTTGTATGAATCTAAGATGGCTGATGACCTAAAACGTGATGAAAGTTTGGAAGACATTTGTCCCGATAGCAACCAGCTGAAAGGTCACATTATGGAAGTAAGGTTTAGAAAAAGTTTGGTTATCCAATTTTAAAGGTCATGATCACCAACTTCTCCAGAGACTGCAACGAAATCTTGAACGGCGAGGCCAAGAAATTGTCCTTACACGAGTTGAGCGGCGGTGCGTGTATCTCCTTCGTGTTTTACGAGATTTTCAAGAACGGAATCCAGACCCTCGATTCTTTCGACCAGATCAAGGACGTAGACATCCGCACCATCTGGACAACACCTCGGGCTCCGCCTTGTTCGTGGGGACATAGGCTTTCGAGGTGCTTGTCAAGCAGTAGATCCGCCGCATGGAAGAACCCACCTTGCGCTGCGTCAGCTTGATTTTCGACGAGTTGGCCAGAATCTTGTCGCAGATCATCAGCAACCCCCAATATTCCCCCTATCCTACATCATCAGTTTGGAAGAAACCTACGTCAACACTGCGCATCTTGACATGTTGAAGGGCTCCCAAGCAATGGTCATTGTCGAGGAGAAGCTCCATCCCAAGCAACAAGTCGCCGTGGACCCAAAGTCTGACAGGCCATTGCCACCCTCACAACAGCACACTCCTGCGCGGTCTGCTAGCAAAGAAGACACGAACGGATTTTTTGGCGGCTTCTTCTCATCTAAAGCAAAAAGAGATTGCAGCAGATGGAGGTTCATCCCGTCTTGCGTGCTACAGGAACAATGACGGAGCGTGAGCAGATGGAGACTGTGGTCATCAAGCTCTTTATTGCCTCGTATTACAGCATCGTTCAAAGAGCCGTGGCAGACCTTGTGCCAAAGGCCATCATGTTGAAGTTGATCACCAGATGCAAGGACGACATCCAGAAAGAGCTGTTACAGAAGTTGTACAGTCCTCCCGACTTGGCAGACTTGGTCAAGAGTGATCTGACGGTGCAGAAGAGAAAGGAGTGCTTGAAGATGGTAGAGATGTTGAGAAACGCCAGCGAGATTGTTAGCAGTGTGTAATGCTCGGTTTTCTCTAATAGCCCGGCTGATTAAGCTATTGTACTTATCTTTCTTCAAAGCGTGATCCGAGTGTTTCTTCGCGAAGTTCAGGTTTGCATCAAGCAACGACTGTCAACTTGGAATATTGCTCAACCAAAAATGCAAGTCTCATCAACTCACGCAAATACTTCTCGATTCTATCCATTTTCTTAGGATGACAGAAGTCGAAGAAGCATCGCACAAAAAACGCCCCCTCCGCAATTAGCTCTTTCCGAATTTTGGAGAGATTCTCAACTTCGTTAAATTTATCAGGTAGATGCTCAAATAATAGTTCGAGTATCGTGTGCGCAACTTCACTTTCAACCATGTGCAAAGATTCAGATATGTCATCATGATATTGACCAAGCCAGTGTTTGTACAACATTGATATAGCTGCCTGCTTCTTATAGAAAATATATTGTGTCAGCCAAAGAGTATATAAGTTGATCCGAATCAGTCTAAAACCAGCCAAGACCGCCTCTGTTTTTTTCCCACTGAATTTAAAAAAACCGCTGTTGATATGCGGTATATTGACAGCGGTTATCACACATTCCGTGTTCTCTCCATTATTGAGAGTTTTTAGCTAACTCGATAGACTGTCCACGCTCAGTCGGGTATGGACAAGAGTTTCACTTTGCAGGCTTAGAAGTCACTAGTGAAGAGACGCAAAATTACAATATTTGCCTCTTCTAAATCTTGGGGCTTGGAAGCGGGGAGTAACATGCATGTTCCAAGGAGGTTCAGGTGTATTTTGCAGTGGTCCTCATAAAGCTTGTTGGCATATGGGTACTTTTTCCGAAACTGGGCAGCTATGCCTCCTCCCCACAGGCCAAACGGATTTCAAGCGTGTGCCAAAACAGCCGTTGCTCTGCCGCAATGAGAAAACAAATCACCCTTTATAGAGTTGGGCATATCTTGGCAAGAAAACAATACATATACCTAATTTTAAAGAAGAGAAGTGGTGTGAAACCTGATTTAGATTGTGGGGTACGGGGGAGCAACTTGGTGGGAACAATCTCTAGCATCTGCATATTGCAGCTGTCTGAGGTGGAACCCCAGTTTTGTCTTTTTTTCCATAAAGTTTGCGTATTCATGATACTAGTTATATCTTAAAAAATTATGCTTTCAAGTTGAACCCGTTTAATTTTTAAATGTGAAATACTTGCGTTGATCGGCACCCTGGTTGTATCGCAAGCCTACTTGCGTTGACGTATTATCAATGCCTTTGGAATTGTTGCTGAATTTAACGTGGTGTTTGAGAAAACATGCAAGGCCGCAGTTTGGTAGCTTCCTAAGATCATAAATGATCTTGATGATAAGAACCACGTGTGCATGTACTTTATAATTTTTGTTTTGTTTCGTCGGCAGTGAACGGAAAGGTTCAGCACTAGCATGAATAGTGTCTTGAGCATGTATTACGTGGGTGAGATATAATACGACTTACATTAGTTTGAAGATCTACTTTGTTAAGTATTGTACAATTCGTATTGCGCTTTTAATACCCCCCATCATTATCAACTTTTTTCCCTACATTTTTACTTGTTTTACGGTTCTATCATCACTTGAAATACGACTCAATAATTTAGCTTGTAATTGAAACAGACTTGGAACGACATACATGTTTGTTTTCATATATATCACTGACTTCTTTGAAAAAACTCAGGGAAACACGTCTACATTATTTATATGATCATGTTAGTAGACGGGGAGAAACCATGGAGAGAGGAAGAATAATCAGAAGCATGAGTGCGAGACATCACAAAATTTCATCATCATGTATTTCCGAGGAAATCACCATATGCTTTTTTCTCACCCAGTCCTACAATTCAACTGCTGAAATGTATGATGTTCTCTTAGGAAATATTGTTTATTGATATATAGGAGTGTTTTTTTTTTTTTGTTTTAAATTTTTTTTATCATTTTCGATTTTTTTTTTTTTCATGAAGACAAGATCGATAAATAAGTCTGATACCTTCATCAACCAGGTAAGTGTCAGGCCCAAGATTCAAAGACCATCTGTTCTTTTTCTCTTGTACAAGATGACAATATTCTCAGGTATGGGCTCCATTCCGCCATAGCTATCAAGGAGAGAGACCTTTTCAACAGGTCCTAAAGTCGAGGATGTCGCCCTGCTGGAATGCAAGCCATGGTTCACAAGCAGGCGAGATCCCCTCAGACGTCTTTTTCTTTGCACTTGCCACCCTTCATTTTCTTCTGTTGTCTCAGTATCAAATTGGCATGTATAAGCTGGCGCAAACGTGGGCATGCCACAGTCATTTTTCACCGAGACAGAAGCAAGGGTGGTTCTTGTTTGTCTCTTGTGCTTCAGGTGCTTGCGTAAGCGAGACAAGTAAAGATCATCGTGGTTAGTGGCGGTGTTATCTTCTTGGGACGAGTCTAAAGGCAAACCAGAAGCCTGCTCTGGATCAGAAACCCTGGCTTGCTTTTCATAAATATTAGTGTCACAAGTAGTATCAACAGTGATCGCTGAAAGTTTTTTTGCAGAGTCTTTGCTATTGTTTTCCTCGAGGGGCGGTGTTAAGATTTCTGTCTTGGGTAGTTTCTCAGTTGAACAATGTGTTGCTTTGTTGCGATTGTCCTCCGCCAAGTCTTCCATTAAT